CAATTAACTCTTGAACTTATATTTTATTTTATTTTCATTTTAGCTCTACTATGCTCTTTCCTCCGTTATCCGACTAGCTAGGCTTGTTTTCGATTTTTCTTTTTTTATCCGAGCCGCTCCACGTTGCCTCGGCACAACAGCGATCTTGTTGGCGAATGGTCCTCACGTGCTCTATCTCTCTGTTTTTGAGCTTTTCATGTAGCGAAAACAGCGAACATCGTCCGATAAAAATCGTTTCCGTCGATGCTACACGAGAAAAGGAAAAACGAGTTTCTTTGGATAAAATTTAAAGCTTCGTCAACATTAACAAGAATATTCTTTTGCTCGTTTTATATCTTGGACCTCTTAGTCCGTCGGGACTTTCAATCCCTTATTTGGATGACGTGTGTTATAGTAACTTCAATTTTATTGCTATCGCTAGGGATATAGGGAAGAACTGTCGTTAATCATACGAGCAAAATATTTCTGAGAACCTTGAATAATTATAGGAAGACGAGAAAAGAAAAAGGTAGGAACATAAAGACATGGATAGGGTGGCAGTCTCTTTGGAAAATGAGCTATTCAGCAAGATTTATTCAATTACATTTACAATTACATCGGCGATTGTCTCATCGTTTGAATAGTCTTTCATCGATTGTATTGAGCCTTAATTGACTGTCTTGCAGTCTCGAAAGTGCGGTTCTCTAGCTTCCTATAAGCCGTAGTTTTGTTTCTGGAGACCTTCATCTGCTCGGAGAGAGATAATGTTTTTTGTGAGCTGAGACGATTCGATTGATCGATACAGCGTTTGTCTCGAAGTAAATAGTGTTGAATCAAACTTTCCTATGAATAGAAACGAAGGAGATTGTCTGCCATATTGTTTCATAGAAATCAAAATTTAATTAATATTCCAAATGCAGCGCATAAAAGTTAATTTGCTTTGTCTGTCGCGCCATTCAAACGTTAAATAACTAATTTCAGAGTATTCAACTGTTGAAAGAATAAAATCTGAAGGCAAGGGTTAAAGTAAAACCAGGTTCTTTTCATTCGCAAAACACGATCGAGTGAAACTTTCGTCTACTTGGAAACTTCACCGACAACCAAAAGTCTTGCTGTCATTATCATTCGTTGAAAGCGAGGCGCGGTTAACTTTTCAAGTAAATTTTAACGAAAAGAAAAGGAAAATAAAAAAAAAAAAGGGACTCCGGTAACCCACGGAAACTTTCCTAATAAAAGTTCTTATTTAATTACTTTTTTCGCGGGTTCTTTTAGCATGAACGAATCGAGCCGGTTGTCGCTCGAAATGTCATGCGCAGAGGTTTTTTCAGTTAGTGGAACGGAGGAAATCATTTCACGGAGAAAATGAAAATAAGAGAGCAGATGTGTCCTCGGCAAAAACTCTCCTCTGATTGTCACATCATTTTCTTCTTTTCGTTCTTCCCTACCCCCTTAGACACGCTCAATATCTTTGCTCGGTCTCTTCTGAATTCAAATCCTCTACAATCATTCGGTTCCATGTTTAATTTTAGTCGTTAGAACGATAAATAGGAGGGGGCTTCTCGATGTTATTAATTAGATAATATTACAAATATATTATCCTTTATTTCCACAAAATTATTTATTTTACTTGTACGTTCAAAATTAGAATTGAAGAAATAATTCTTAGGCATTCAATAATTATTCATCCTTTAAAACCCTGGAGGCTCGAAAAGAAGCTGGTCTTTGGTCTTATATTACGGGAGAGTAAATCATGGCGTCGGGACACCGATAACCCGGCGTTGAAATTATTGCCAACGTGACACCGGCTATCATTTCATGGTGTTGTAACTCTCTTAAAGATATTACCGCCATCCAGCAACTCCACCCCGCAGAAACGCCAAAGTTTCTCTTAATGACGAAAGTGGAGGGAACTCGTATCAAGAGCCGATAGGGGTGGCTAATCGTTTCAGCGGGGAAAATTCCTTTGTGCGATAACCGAGTTGCAGGTGTGCCAACGAAATCTGCGGGGTTCTAACCAACGACAGAATCGTGAATACCGATAGTTGAAGAATGCTAGGACGATGAACGGGACCGGGATTACCGATGACGATGAACGGCTAGATACTTTAGGAGAAGATCGAGGGGGTGGTTTACCCTCTTTTCCGAGGATATTTGCGGACAAGCTCGATACGCGTTACCCGTCAGACCTACCAAGCTTCAAACTTACATCAACGAAATGAAAGAGCTGCTTCAACCCCTTCCTGTCTCTTCTTCTTCTTCTTCTGCTCTGATACACTTCCCTCTTCCTTCGTGTTTACTGCCAAAACTTGAGATATACGTGGATTCGTGTCTGAATCACTTTGAGAGGTTCTGGTTGTTCATATTGCAACGATCGTGTGGAATAAAGGGTTAATTTTGATACGGTTTAAAAGGTGAGATTTAGGGGCATGCGGTTACTTGAAAATTCTGGTGGAGAACTTTTTTCGATTTCGAGTTTCAAAATGGGGGATACCCGTAGTGATATTTCATTTAAAGGTATTTTAAAAAAATGGTGAGATAACCAAAAACAAATTTGATTTCAGCTGGCATAGGTATAAATAAATGTGTACAGATTTTCAGAATTCGCATTGGTAACTAGTTCGGCAAATGTTTGTTGTATGGAGGGATAGAGTCGAAACGTTTTTTCAAATATTTACACCGTCCCGAGTATTTTTCACCTATCGATTTCGATTAATTTCGACGCTGCATTCACGTTACTTCAGCGTGAACTAAAGATAGCTAAATATTTGTTGCTACGAGCGTGCACGTTTTACCGCAAGTCTGTTTTGTGCATCCGGTCCGCGTACAGCCACTGAAAGAACAGTATATGACCCAGTTTCATGGGAAACTTCAACATAGAGCTCCGATATTTGGGAAAGTTTTCAGAAATATTCGCCCCCATCAATCAGAATTGTTTAGAAAATAAGTATTTTCTGCACCACAATTGTCCACCTATTCCTAATAAAAAATTTACTGAAAGTCTGTTCGGTAAATGGAACTGTTCCAAGTATCTTTTCGGATCATAATTTTTACCATCGTTGAATATCGTCTCAGGAATTACAGAAATTTAGATAGAATCTTCTTCGTCTAATCAAATTCGCGATCTTCGGAGATACTTGTCCCTTTCTCGGTAAACAGAAGCATAACTCCGACCGTATCTTCTAATAGACTAATCTAAATTAACCAATGGTTATAGCGCAGATTTAGCCCGGCCAAAAATAGTAATTTTATTTTGCGACCGCGGCTCTCCAACCATGATTCCATGTTATTTTTCCAAACTTCTAATGTAACAATTACAAAGAAGTGGCTAGAAGTCGTTTTACAGTGGATAGAAGAATATGGTCCCCAAAATTTGATAAGACAACGTTTTATTGTCAAGACTCGTAAAGCATTCAGATCCTTGTCCCCGGAAGAAAAATTCTATGATATTCGTGTGCGCAGTTTATCGCGGCTGCGAAGGGGGGAAATAGAGTGATGTCCAAGTTGCAAGGCACGTAAATTTTCGGTGCAAAATATTTGAACGACGTGGAATCACAGTTTGAAAGTATCCACGGGCGCAAAGTTGGTGTCTGTTGCACGCTCTATTTCACACGAGGTAGCTAGCCCCACGATTTTTCACGAAAATGAAATGTCATACGAAATGAGCGCACTCTGTACATTCCCGACTTGCTTTTGATAAAAGATGAGCACTATTATTCTAATGGTGCCGCGGTCACATTCTACATGATTCTGCATCAACTGTAAATATTTTTCTCCACTTCTCTTGTTTCCTTCTTCTTTGAAAGTAAACCACCCTATGAAGTTTTGGCAAAAGTAAATTCTCTTTGTCTTGATGGATACTGTTTGTTTAATCTTTATTGTAAAAGTTAATATTTGGAAAATTTGAATGATATTTAAGGGCTTTTTCGGTTCAGGTACCCGTGAGATACTCGGGTAGACAACAGCCGGGTACTCAGGTATCTCATGAGATACGTGAGACAGTTGAGATCTTGAAAGAGTTTCAGTAGACTGGAAAGGCCACATCAGAGATAAGAAACGAGCAGATTAATCGCAATTTGTGAATTTCATTTTACTCTGTTCAAATTTTATTATGAGTATTCGGTATTTTGCAATGGAAGAGGAATCATCATGTAAAACTGATAATTTTAATGTCAACTGTCTCATATATCTCATGAGATACCCAGCGATCTGGGTCACAGATGACCCGGATACCCGGATATCTCACAAGCCAGAAGCTTACTCACTAAAGTTGAAAGGGTTAATATTAACGGTACACAATTAAAAACAACAATAATTTAATTTATTCAATGATTAAATAATAAGTACATATAAAATGTTATTACATTATTAAAAATTAGTGTGGTAGTCTACATAATCTTACACCATAATAGATGTATAATTATATTCGTGATCGGTCAGGAGCAGGTTCACCGAGGATCAGTTAAGTAGGTCGTATAAACAATAAACAAACCGTGCGTTCATCCTCGAAAAGTCCCGTACAACAGAAGACGGCCCCGAAACAACAACAAAGCCGAGCATCTGTTCGTCGCTTTGAATGGCACAGTAGCGTGTGCTCGGATCAGGAACATCTCGTTCGAAGTTAAACAGAAGCTAGCCAAGAGGTTAAAATTAGCCGCGTACTTCGCGATTTCCTTCTTGCAGCCGGCACGTTGTTCGCATGCTGAACCGGCTCGGACAAAGAGTGTAAGAGAACGGTTAGTGTGTATGTGCGCGAAAGCAAGTCTGCGGCGAGGGGGTTGGTTAGCAAAAGGGGTTGAAAGGGAGAGGCACAGCACGCGTGCGACCGGCTTCGACTAAGAAAAGTCGAAAATCTTAATTCGGGGGCGGTGCCAGGGTTGCGATGCGATGGGCGGCGACTGGTAAGCGGCGATTGGCTTGGTTCGGCCAAAGGGTGAGAGATTTGCTAGAGGGGTGGCGGTGATATGCGCCGCGACGCCAGGACGTCGGCGTGTTCACGTCTGCTCGACGCGGTCCTCTTGCTCCTCGAGGACGCCAGTCAACGCCGGGCGTTCCAAGCGTACAGTCGCGGATATTTTCGTCGTCGTCGATCGACGATCGCGCGCGTGTTCGACACGCTGGGACTCGTGGTTGTTCCTCATCGATCCAGATCGAAATCGACTGATCTAGGATGCGCTCGAGGGACGTAATATTTTATAAAATCCTCGCCTAATCGACCACGCGTGTATCGTTGTCCTATCGAAAAAGTGGAACGTGCGTAAGTTTGTTTACCCTGTGATCGGTTGGGATGGAAGGTCGTCCGGATACCGCTTACGGAGAACGTTTCCGATGCGCCAAGCTCGACGACTCGTTCGAACGCTCAAACGGGCAGCGTGCGTGCGTGGATAAACATTGGTGTATCTCGAGAGCATCGTTTCGCGAACGGAAGGCCAATCTTGATCGTTTCTTGAAAGAAACCAGAGACGCCGGTGGTGTGTCTGTTCATTGCGGATGCGGTTCTTACGCGAATCGTGATTGTGCTAACGATTTCGGCAAGCTGCAGCCCGGAATTAGGCTAATGGTTAGAGAAAGCAGGGGAACCAGGTTCAATTTTGTGCCCAGGATGATGGCTGTCTTTATGGTTGCCTTCGTCATGCTGCTCGACACTCGGCAAGCTTCCGCAGCTTTCACCACCGGTGAGTCGAATAAATTTTTCAATAATTTTTCTTTGTTACGGTAGGTCGTTGAAGAACAAAATCAATCATAGATTTTACAAAATGAATTAATAACGATTTCAAGCGTCGATTGATTGAATGGCTCTCGTTTTAAACATTTTTCGATGCTATTATTGTTCACTTCATTGGATGACCAATTGATTCCACGAACTGTCGATCAATCAACGTTTACATATATCCACCGTACATCGCTTTCCTCTGTTTTCCCTGACAGCACTCGTGGCTGTTTGAACAGCGATTTAAACGCGCATCGTTCGATCAACGCGTAACCTCGGATTTGATTTTTAACCGACTTCGAAAAAGGAGGAGCTTACTCAATTCGATCATAATTTTTTTACTTGCTCTACATTTTCAATTTATTTTTATATGTAGATAACTACTCTTATATGTAGATATGTACTTCGTCATATGATGATGAAATTAATTTTACAATTATGTAAATGACATGTAAAACGAATGGAAAAATGGTTCTTATCAAAAATCTTATCAACGTCGCAAGTATAAGTCGAGTTAGGGATCAATATAGACAGATCAAAAAACTTAAATCAAAAACTCCATCGGAATAATTAAAACAACTATACACTCTAATACATTATTAAATTCATAATAAATAGGCGCTTTTATTGATTGAAAAAAAGGTAGTTTTTCAAAAAGGAAGGGGAATTCAATTTTGCAAAAAGGATGATTTAAAAAAAAAAATTTACACACAGTTTTATAAATCTCAAGAAACAGTATAACCTTTATTTCAACCATTGTTTTATATCTTTTGTTATTTACGACTTATAAGCACGTATATAGAAACGGCGGTTCAGATAAAAGGATTGATATCTTCCTCAAAGAAAAAAACGGACATGAATTACAGCTATCTTCATAAATATTTATACAAAGTTTCATCAAAATCGTAGTGTATCAGTCCCCGATGTTCCCTAGTCAGGCGTCGGCAACCTATGACTCGCGGGTCACCAATTGACGCATTTGATAATTTAGATAGCAAGTTCGCCATACCGCAATCAAATCGTTATTGGCAGCATCGTTTATTCGGATATTTTTAATTTTGCGCCGCTTCTGGAAAGGTTGAAATGTATTTAGTATACTACTTAACGATTAAATATGTTTTATTAATAGCTGTGGAACATTGGTATAAATAAAATAGAAATTATTTTACACCTTTTAGCGCATTTTGAAGTTGGTTGTATTTTTTGTTAAAAATTATTTTATGGTTATGTTAAATCAGAAAACCGACAGTGGGCCGAAGTACTCCCGGATATTATAGTCCGTTCAAATACACGGTCAAAGGCGTGTGTTTTCAACAGTGGAAAATAAATTTGCGCGACAGCCATGTGGCTGAAATTGCCGGCGACGAAAACGTTCGTTAATGAACCGTTTCTTTTTCGACGATATTGAACTCGATTTCGATCCTCGGAAATTTGAACTCTTGTTTCGTGTAACCGTTGATACTTTAATTCATTCATTTTACGTTATCAAATTCATTTAGCAAACGCGAAATAACCTTTTCTCGGTCCTTTGTACTTTGTCGAGCTAAAGGGAAGAGCCTTTGTACTTGTTGACGTCGTTTTGAACGACACCTGGTTACAGGCGTCTCCTTCCGGTAAGCGTTGTTGCAAAAAGCTCGTTGCCGGTTCTAATACCGCGGCACCCGCTGAAATTACACTTCAATGGCGAAATTGCGGCCAGGAATGAGCTACTACGCGGCCCCGTGTTACCCCATGCATAATTCATAAACGAGGCGACACAGGGGAAACCTCGGGCGATAAATATTTGTTTGAGGGCGGAAGGACGTAAAAGTGCATGCAAATGAATTGGCCCTAATGTAGCCCGGTGCTAGTTACACGCTGCTCTAAGCACACCTTGAGCGCTTTCCTCTTAAAGGATCTTCCTTTGTCCTTCATATTACATATTATTGTCTTCAACTTTTGGCAATTAAATTATTTTAGGAACTTTTCGAATTTTTATGCACTTTTAAGCAATCGAGGCGTTATACGGCCTCGAATTTTCTTTCCTTTCGTTTCTGTTCATCTTTCAACCGCGAGATGGAAGCGAGTGGAAACGGAGATACTTTTGGATAATCGGATGAGAGCCAGATGAATATTCACGAACGCATACATATGTGCGCGAAGGGAAAAGTAGGATAATCCGTGCCACTACTCGCGTCTGAATTTTTACTATTTCCTTCACCGGAGGCGAAAGGAATCTGTAGATATTGTTACATATTTCACGTCCCTTTCGATCATTTCCATACCGCTGGGAATTTAACTAACGCCGATAGCCTTCACGGAAATTAATTTTCGGATAAATTTTCCATGGTAAAAAGAATATAAACGACTACGAGGGTAGTTAGGACCCTACATGAAATTGTCCCTAAAAAGATCACAACGGTAGAATCATCGAAGCATCCCTCGTCCCTGAATAAGCTAATCCTGTCGTAACGTGGAAATATTTTTGCATTAGCCACGGTTGATCCCAGCTAGGGGTTGATTTACAAAAAAAAAACTGCCGAACGAGTGGTCGAAACGTGCAAAAATCGTTTGTATTTGCACCACGTAGCGCGCAGACCTCGCGAACACATTAGATATTAAATTTAGCCCGCTTACAACTGTCGCTGTAGCTAATTAGGGGTGTGCTCCCCTAGCGAAACAGATGGCAGCCCTTAGGCGACCAGATAATTCCGTGAAGAGAAGAGTCTGAGGAGGGTGGGAAACGATAGCTGCTCGAAGAAGAGCAACGAGGGTAGTTCAAAAATATTATATGTTACAAGATATATTTTTGATGATCTAAAATCTCTCGAATTATGGAAGATAGAGGACGAGGGTGAGAAGATAAGCAAAGTTTGGAACAGATTCTGTGGAAGGTGTATAGCAAGGGTCGATTTGGAGGCGACATTTGTTATCAAACTCATTTAATAATTCATCGGAATTAGATAATACCGCGGTCCGAATAGGGGAGAACTGGTGTAGACCGCATCTAGCTATTTAAACACGGTAAATGTACGGTGGCAAAGGGGTCGCGAAGAGCAGAACGGTTTTACTCGTCGTTCATTCGATCTGATATCGAGACAATGAGAGCCTTTCCATATTATCCGTTCTCCAGACGATATATTTGTCCATATTCCCCAAGCCAGAACGGTATCATACGAAATTGAATGGCCACCACATAAAATCCGCTATGGATGATAATGCTGACCATTGTGTTTTCATCTGCTACTCCGAATTAGAAATATTCAAATTCGTATTTACACTAAATTGCAACGAGCTTTTCGTGATTATTTTGAAGTTTATGTTAATAATGTTCCGCGTTGTTTGACTGATTAATTTAATAGCCAAGGGTTAGGATTACCTTGCTCCGTTAAGTACCAGGAACATACACCTGTACGAGTTACAGACGCGGTATACGGTTCACGTCACTAGCAGTTAGTACACGTCAGAAACTCGAGCTGATTTAGACTTCGAATTTCGCTGTAAAACCCGTTATCACGGGAAACTATTATCGAAATACGTTTCGTTGTTTGCCACGTAACTTGCTACTTATTGCCTATCGACTCTCTCCTTTGTGAAGCGTGGATCGGTAATTTGGATTTCAAAAATTTCACAGCAGGACGCGTCAGTTTCCTGAGAGACAGTTGTTCGGAAAATTGTCGCGACAGTTGTTCGATAAAACATGTTGTAGGATTTTTGAATTTTTTTTTTTTTTTTTGTAGTTGAGAGAATAAACGCATCGCTTGAGGCGACAGGTTGATGAAAACGGTAGGGGTGTGCGGGTACCCGGAATGGAAAATTCCATTCGCTCTGAAGAAGTCGGGTTAATTCGGGTTGGGAACTCATTCGTGATTTCGGGTACCCGCACACCGCTTGAAAAAGATTTCTTTGTATCGATAAAAATGTTTAAACATTTTTGAATTAAAAAAATCGAAGCACAGAACATTAGGATTTTCAACCACAACCCCTATTATTTCCAGGAAACGTACAATACTCATTCCGCGTGCTCGTACGTGCGTGTACATCGGGAACGCACCCCTGCCGAAGGGTGATAGGAAGGAAAGACCGGTATACGGGTTTCGTACACGTTCGAAGGCACAGGCACAGAGGGTTTCACGTACCCCCCAGGGATTCTCGCTTCATGCATTTTATATTTCGACGGACTTTGATTCCTAGACGGGCCACGTGGCCCACGGGAGTAATCCTTAATCTTTGAACGGAAATTATCTTTGATCATGGCTCAGTCATTGGACGTTCTCTCCGTTCTCCTTATTCCGCGTCCACCTCCTCCCATGGGTCGAATGTCTGTTCCCTCTATTCTACAGTCGTTTCAGGAAAAACCGTCTGGGGTGGAAAACCAAGGGCGAACAATAGGGAAAACTGACTGACGAGACTTATCTTATAAAATCACCGAGTGGATTTATGGGGTGAAACGGTGAGTTTGTTTAATTTTATACGAGCATTCTCGCAACCACAGGAATCAATCGAGAAAAGTTTCAACTTAGCAAGCGTATGTTCGTCTTCGGGGAACGAAACGATTTTCCATTACCGTTCGATTGTGCCAGGAATCGACGGTATCTGTTTCCCATTCGAGTTTCCTGGTATCCGGCCCGTAAACATAGCCGGGATCTTTCTCGGAAAACAGCACCACTTTTTCGCATAACCGTTCCTTAGCAAGGGTAGTTCGATCGGATTCAAAATAACGCCACTTCCCGGCGAAGCAGTTTTCGTCGCTATCACCGGTACCGCTTTCATTTTCCTCTCTTTTTTCTGTTGGTCGACGGAAGTTAAACGCGCGACTGCGATGCAACTGCTGTCGTCTAGCCTCGGCATCCGGGATCCTTAATCTGCTCGCGAAAAACTCGCTTCTGTGGCGGAAGAAAGCTGTACAAGAGAAAGAAAGAAAGAAAGAATGAAAGAAGAGGGTGTTCCTTGAGGAGAAATCCTCACGCGAGCGATCTCGACTCG